CTGCCCTGCATCCCCACTGACCCCTCTCACACTGCCCTGCATCCCCGTTGCCCCTCTCACACTGCCCTGCATCCCCACTGCCCCTCTCACACTGCTCTGCATCCCCACTGACCCCTCTCACACTGCCCTGCATCCCCACTGACCCCTCTCACACTGCCCTGCATCCTCACTGCCCCCTCTCACACTGCCCTGCACCCCCACTGTCCTGCATCCCACTGCCCCTCTCACACTGCCCTGTATCCCCACTGCCCCCTCTCACACTGCCCTGCACCCCCACTGTCCTCACACAGAGCCCTGCATCCCCACTGCCCCCTCTGGCCTTCTCCAAGCTGTTACATCAGTCAGTAGAAATCAATGTTATCTAGTTAATGGAGACAATGCTATAGTCAAGTAGAAGGCCCCTCAGCTTACCTCTCCCCTGCATTGACCTCAGAACCCTTTACGGTCCTTCAGGGTTGCCATCATCTTAATCACCTCATGATGAGGTCATTGGTCACATCCCTCTACTATGGCCTTACTCTCCTCTGTAATCTTTGTTTATGAGTGTGTGGTGCAGAAGGACTGCCTTTAGGAATTAAATTATATTTTGTTTGGATCAGGTATACATTCTTAAACTAAGGAAACCTATCAGTGAGTCAGAGCTGAAGCACAGGATGTCTGGTTTACATTCTGACATTTTCACAAGATTTAAGGAGAGAATTTTTAGCAAATGTCCTATATCTAACTTCTCAAGCATTAAGGATACATGCAGGCTCTTCAGATCCCAAACTATATAGTAGACTATCAAGAAAGTGAGAAAGTAATCCTTTATACTTGTTAAATTGTTGATTTAAAATATAAATGCCCCGCTTTTCAAGAATTGGATAACTTTGTTGCTGAACTTTACCTGTCTGTGTGTGAGAACTTAATTTGATATGATGTTGGTAAACAGTTTCTCCCAGGCTGGGTCATGACTTTTCCTTCTCTCGCCTTTCAAACCATGATGGTTTGATTTTATGAAATTCAGTCTATGAATTTGTCCTTGTGAGTTAAGCTGCTGAGGTCATAGCTAAGAAAATCTGCCTATATTTAAATGCATAATATAGACAATATTATTAGTGTTACCTGGAGCAACAAGCAGAAAGTGGGGAAGGATAAGAGGTTGGGGATAAGGGGATGATTCACTCGGGTTCAGTTTTTGGCTTGGTGCAACATATGAAATAACTTATGTTCATTTTACATGACACTGTCTCAAAATGTTTGAGAGCACCCTACCCATTCTCTGCTGAGGCAGCACTGTACCTGTGTTGGGATCAGGGCATCCACATACACGTGTGTTCACTTCTGGGTTGTATCCTGTTCCATTGATCTATAAATGTAACTTCACGACAAGGTTGTGTCCTGATTTGTCATAACCTAGCTTTACTCCTCCAACTTTGTTCTTTTGGATTTTTGAGACGGTCTCACTGGATAGCCTTTGCTGTCCTGCCACTCACTGTGCAGGCAAGGTTAGCCTTAAACTCAGAAATGTTCTACTTCTCCATCCTGAGTGCTGGAATCAAAGTGTTGTGCCCAAATTCTGAACCCCAAAATCACCAAGAGGCTCATTTCGATGCAAAAGCAGAGTCTTTTATTGAAGATATTTAATGAGCTAACCCTATTAGCTTGGGCCCTTCACCCCACCACCATGGAGGATGGCTGGAGAAAAGACCCCAAGCAACCTCGAGGCAGGGAATCTTAAAGGGCAGTGTAAGGGGAGTGTCTAGGGGTATGAGACAGTCTCAGGATTGGTGTGCTTCTAGGTTTGGGTGACCCGCCCTGTGCTGATTGGTCAACTGGTTGTTATGGCCCATAGGCCCTCCCAGGGCAGTTGCTATGCTCTGCACATCACTGTTGTGCACTGTCCTTAAAGCACACCCAGAGCCATAAGGCACAGCCCTGCCAGCTAACTTCTGATTGGTTCCTTGCCACGAGGAGGGCATCTGACCTCCTAGTGACCAGGACAGGAGCGGCAAGGTCATGCAAGCACATGTTAGCCTGTCATGGCTGCTAAAATGGGGGACTGATCATTACAAAAGCTGTGTGCCACCACACCTAGTCAGTTTTGATTTTTAAAACGAGGTGTGTTTGTACTTCTGGATCGTTGTGAGTTCCAGATATTTAGAATCATCATGTCAATGTCTACCAATTGGAAGGTGACTTAGAATTAAATAAAATCTGTTGAACAGTATAGGAAGAATTAATAACTCAAGAATTTTGATCTAAAAGTATGATTCAGCTATCTATCATTTATCTAGATATTAAAACTTCAAAACTTCATCAGAGGTCCATAGTTTCCATCTTGTAGGGACTTATGCATCTTATTTTCTTTTTCATTTTGGCACTGTTATTTACAAATAAGTGTTTTTATCCTAAATCATGACTGCTTTTGGTTACTCTAGAGAAACTACGTGGGCTATCATGAAGCTTTTGTGTACAGGTTTTCATTAAATTTGATCATTTTACAAGTTTTCTGGTACATTTTCCAGCTTTCCCTTTTCTACAAATACCGGACACTCACAGATGAAGGGGGTTGTACTTCCTCTTGTCACACTTTATTTCCTATTCTTGCCTTGTTGCAAGGTCTACAGCCTCCAGCACAGCGCTGAGTAGCAGCAGAGTACACCAGCCTCTCCCCTCCATGTGAGGACGCAGAAGAGCCCTCTAGGAAACAGGGTGCCTTAGTAGGTGACTTGGCAGAATCAGCTTTATCAACCTTAGTTTACCCATTATTCCCCGAGGGCTTTTGAGATAAATAAATGGCGGGGTTTTCCTAGTGATCTTTTCTGTCACATAGTCTTTGTTTCTCAGTTGCATAACAACACTGGTTTTAAATAAACATTGGATTTTTATGGCTCAGGAAACATTTCAAAAGCCACGAAGAATGATCGTAAAAGCCAGAGTACCTGTATGTTAGCTGTAAAACAGTCTCTCCTAGAAGTAGCTACATAAACAAGACCAGAACCATAGCAATATTGATAGTGGATAGGTTAGACTCGAAGGGGAAAATTTCACAAGTTCCTAGCCCTGAACAGGCAGATAATGACTGTGGGGAGAAGGAGAATTTGCCTAGCTCATGGGTGAACCCCCTTAGGGGTGTTCTCAGGCAGAGTCCTGAAACCGTACAACAAAACAGACTCACCAGTTTGTGTGTGTATGTATGTGGTGTGTGTGCGTGTGTGCACACACAAGCATGCACATGTATGTATGTATGTATGTATGTAATGTATGTGATAATAATAATCAGAAAATAAGCTATCAACCTGAGAGTGTGTGCGGGTTGACACAGAAGGAGTTTGTGGGAAGGGTAGCTAGAAAAGACCGGATTAAGGAAAGGTAAGGGGAAACGTGAGGGAATTCTAGTTCAATTTAACATATTTTTAAGAAGTGCCTGCTTTCTATCTAGAAGGCACTTCGGAAATATATATGGATGGTAAATCGTTTTTCCACTTAATTTAGCCATTAGTTAAATTCAAATTCAAACCAGTGTGAGAGATCTGGCATGTGGTTTTCAAGGCCTAGGGTCCAATTCTGATAGAGAAAGGGGCCAGGATCATGACACTTACATTAGAATGACTGAAATTTGAAGCCTGGGGATTTCTTGTACTATCTATGGTGAAATTCGAGTTCTGTTAGCAGCACAATATAGTTTGGGACCTTTAGAGCCAAAGTTGCAATGTTCTGTAAAGGATAAAGAAATTTCCATAGGATCCCATCATTCCACTCTTAGACATTATTTTCTGAAAGAGTTACAACTATACATCGTCATATGTTGTTATTGGCCTAGATTAAAAAAAAAACTAGAAGCAGTCCAAATACCATCCACAGGAGGATAGAGGGGCAAACTCCCTCATCTATACCATGAAGTACTATGAGTGACAAAAGGCAGTGGTCTCTTGGATCGTTTCAGATGGTAGAATAATCTAAAAATCATTTGGACTGCATGGTAGATGCCAGTCAATAGAAGTGATTCTATTTATATAAAGCTGTAGAAAATGCACACTCAGTTGCGGTGGAAGAGTGATGAAAGATCAGTGGTTGCTTAGATACGGAGGTGTGGCATACCTGGGGGGTGGTGATGGCAGAGCTGTGGGGTGGTGGTGAGGAGGAGCCTACCAGGGACAGGATGACACTTCCTGCAGTGACAGCTGCTCTGCTATCTTGATAGTTGTAAGGTAAATGCCTCTGTTAAAAAAGAATAATAATTGTAGCCTCTAAGTGTCTGATATAATTTAACTCCACAATCACTTGGAAAGCTGCCAAACATCAGCAAATACTAGGTAAACATGACACATAAAGCTTGGTTTTTGACACATGGATTACTGATCCACAATGCATGCATACTATAAACCTGGGAAAATTAAGAAAGCACAAGAAAGGAAAGTCAAATATGATCATTAATCACTCCAAATAATTGTGTTTTAAATGCATATGCAATGTTATCTTTTCTTTGATTGTATACACATTTTTTTCCTGAAGGTTATAGACCAGAAGGTGGTTAAAGTTACATCACCTTTAGATGAGGAACACTTTATTATGATAGTGAACTAAGCTGAGCCTTGTACCATGTTGTTTTCCACAGGGCAACTTAGAAACGGTGTGTCACTGTGTATTCTGCCATCTTGTTAGATCTGGACATTGCTTCTTGTTTCACTTTTTCAAGAATGCTATAACCAAAACTTGTGTGTATACAATTCAGAATATGTGTGGTTACCTTCTAGATTAAATTATTACATTTATTTTATGTTCTGGAGGAAACAAGTTTTTGATCTAAACATGTGTGTGTGTGTGTGTATGTTTTAAGTCTTTTTAAATTGGTTACAAATTTCTGGTTGAGTTATTTTAACGAAATTGAGTTTTCATGATTAGACATCGACATATTTCCACCCTTTTATACATATTTAGCGACAGACACATCCAAGGAAAATCAGAAATTCACTTTATAAACCAGGAAAGGCTCAACTGGGATTTCTTTCCTATTTAATGGACATCAAGGTGGCACTTTGATATCATCCACCATTTTACATTGCTTTTCATACAAATCAAAAGAATTTTCAACTGTAGTTTTTTTCCTATGGCTTTTCTCCTGAAGCCTGTAAAAAATACTAAGATTACTGTTTTGTTTGTGTGGCTTTTGTTAAAGATGTCTGCTGACCAGTGTGTGGGGACAGTCACTTCATTCTTCATTGGCTTCATTCTGTGACTGTCCTCAGACCAGGCCAAGGTGGTAACTAATTCTTCAGGCTGTACAAAGAGACAGTGAGGGAGCATACACATAAATCAATGTCAGAAATACCTGCAAAGCTGCTAACTAACTCTGACCGTTCCTTCAAAACTTCACCACTTAGACCCGACCCTACCTTATGGGGGCTTTTTACGATTGCTCTAGCAATGTACCTGCCACCAGGAAGGAGGTGGCCCTACAGTCCTAAGTAGATGCACTTAGCTGTAATTACGAGGGTCTACTCTGATAGACAGAGGGAGAGGCTGAGAGTGAGTGGACCCAGCACAGGCACCTGCTCCATCTTGCCTTTGCTCATCGCCTGTGTGAAAGAGTCCTCAGGGGAGAGAGGACCATCCAGGAATACCTGCCCAGCAGGGTCTTGGCGGAGGCTTGCACAATGGCTCTGTTTACTACCTGGCATCCTCCTGGAGCTTCCCATCCCCATTCTAGCTAGGTTTTGTCCCCCATGAGTTCCTCACCTCTAAGAGCCATCACCAGTATGAGAACATCTGAGCAGGAATTGTGGTATTTCATCACGCACAATCAGAAATCACAGCACAGTCCCTTCATGCAGAATGCACACATTCTTTCTGCTCTCCAACAGATTGTCTGCAGCTGAGTCACAGCAGGAGGCAACAGGGTAGGGGAGGAGGATACACTCAGGGCTTCTGCAGCAGAAGGAAAACTCCAAACCCACCCTAGGGGAATAAGATGGGCTCACCCTGCTTTATCTTTGGGATATAGAGAGTGAATGTGAAGATCAGTTTTGGAGCTGGTAGGATTCTGCAAGTGTCCCAGCCTCCAGTACACCATCAAGTTTCATCAGCAGGGTCAACCTGCCTGACAGGAAGATGGCATCACTGGTCCATTGAGTGTATTTAGAGCAGGTAGCAGCATCCTTTTTGCACTTTGCCATCAAAGAAGAAGGTACAGCAGAGTTTCTGCATTCTCTCTGGCTGGACTCAGATATGACAGCCTCTAGAGACAGACATCAGGTTTGTAGCATAGACATAGTTTCACCTCATAGCCGCAATCGGTGTAGACAGTGACTGCAAATGCAGGATGCCCTGTGCAATTCAACAGAAGAAAACAACCCTGTTAGCTGGTGCCTTCAAGCTGTGGGTTTAGCTTTATGTTGGGAGCTCAGAAAGAACCATGGGCTCTTTCGCTTCACAATTTTTTTTTCTGGATGAGCTCATTTAACTGTTCCACCTGAAGGCGAATTAGACAGGATACTTATGCAACTGCCGTAGTCCTGAATCAGGGTTTTCTAAATTTACACTTGAAAAGCCATGTAGAAATTCATCCCTGGGCCTGGGGACTATCACCAGGGTATAAGCTCTGAGATGACAACAGGGGATAACTTCAGACAAACTCCAAACACAGCAGCAGAGAGCGACCTCATGTCTGCAAAGACAAGGAACAAAGATGCATTCCACAACTTGGATGTGGGAAACTGCCCAGCTCCTTATTTATACAACGCAATGAAAGCATAGCCACAGTCAAGTGGAAGAAAGTAGGTCAGAGGCTGCCCTTGGGTGTGTAAGCTCCATCAGCTGCCGTTGACTTCCTAGAAACCCCGCTTGTGTTACTAAGAGAAATACGAGCTGACCTTGTGCACTCTGGAAGAGCTGGAGCCCAGATTCCCACACTTGACCTAGATGACTTCCCATCACCACAGTTGAACACTCATTAACTACAATGTTAGCTGCAGATGCAAGACCAATAGTGAAATTGAAGTAGTGATTATCACCATTGCCTTGGAAACTGCTGTGACTCCCCCATACCTCTTCCTCAGCTCCTAACAGCTGGGGCTTAACCATAACCCTAATGTCTCCTCTCCCACTAGCCAGTCACTATGAGATGATAAATAAATCAGCAGGCTCAGCCCCTGTATCTAGGCTTTCAACTGGATTGTCTTCTGATAGAATTTATCTCAGGAATGACACTGAAATCCACCAGAGTGCTCATTGCTCCCCTGGCCCAGCAGTCACATAGGTTCTATATCTTGATGCTTTATAGTGTTGTTCTCCTGGCCATGTGGAGCCCCAGGGCTCACAACTCTCCCCTGAGCCCCATCCACTAGCAGATGCCATGTCTTTCCAGCCTCACCCTACTTCCAGCCCCTTAATCCAGGTCTCACTATAGGATAGGACTGCCTGGAGCCATTGTTTCTATCATCTCCATGACAACGACTCTCCTGCCTTCTACAGGCTAGTCAACCAAGAGGCTCTAGCTTCTTTGCTGTCATCCCTGGCTCTTTCCTCTCTCCCCATGTAAACACTGGTGAGTATCATTGTTGTTAAACTCAGAAGACGGTATTTAACTCCAGGGTGTCAGGGAGCCTGAAGAAATACAGCCTTGGGAAGAGCAAGTGAATTTGGTGTCTTTGGTGTCAGGTTAAGGTAAACACACTAAAATAAACAATACCATGGAAAGGGTATGCCCCAGCTCACTTTTCTAGGCCCCTCTGGGAACTGACTGTAAACATAGCCAAGGGCTGGTGAATGCCCTTGCATGACAGCTGGAGAACTTCGGCAGCCAGCAGTGTGACTAGGGAGAGACCCTTCCCTCTTGCAGTCCTTGCTCTTTCTGCCATCCTGCTTCCTCCAGTTGTCACTTCTTCCCACCAGTTCCTCTCCATCCCTCTTTCAGGGATCTTTCTCTCTTGAGTCTTGCCTAAGCTCCCTGCCAACCTGTAACAAGGAACCTCCATTCCTACAGACAAGAGCTTCCCCTAAAGGCACTCCAATCCCATCAACACAGAATCCTATTCTGGCCCCCACAAGGTACCATTTCTTCTCTTCCTCCAAGTTCTGACTCAGTCTACTCCAGTGCATGAGGTGCCTCTTTCTCCTGTGTCTGGCCTTCAAAAGTTTTCCTCTATTTCCTGTCCTCACCAACTTCCCCTTTGCATCCTGCTGGTAGAGTGATCACTACTGTAATCTAATGACAATGTACTCGGAGCATGCTGCTTTGAGTACTACACTGTCCTTGAGCAGATCCCAACCTCTGATCTTATTTACAAACAGACATGGGACCTGCTGTTCAAAGGGGGAACTATTTCATACCATTCTTTTCTCCACACCGGAGCATGACCTGGAACTCCTCCAACACAGGGTCCAAACATGCCTCTAACTCAAAAATCAGAGCAAGTTGTCACCACAGCCAAGTAGACTTCTTATATTTGTTCTCATTTTTCTCCTAATGACAACTGAGATTTATTGTGTAGATGTGATTGTAAGTGCTTTAAAATGAGATTCATTGTGGAGGCACAGACCTAAGTGCTTTAAAGCAAGACTTACTGTGTGGAGCTGATGCTGAGTGCTTTAAACATCTCATGCATCTTAAAAACCAAGCCTTTTAGTTTGGAGTAATTTTAGATTAATGAAAGGCTATAGAGTGCAGCGTTGGTGTGTTCCCCACTGCCAGCAATCCCAGCCATTTGTTCCATATATCACCAAGGCACATTTGTCTAAACCAAATGCCATGTGTTACTGTTGAGTAAACTTCATGTTGTGTGGACAGGGCCAGTTTTCCCATCACTACTATATTCTGTGTACACTACTTTAACCCATCATGGTGACTAAACCTTCTCTTGTCTCAGAGTTTTTCTTAACCTTTCCTTGCCTCTCATGATCTGGAAGTCTTGACGGTACTGGCTGGGTACATCATGGAGTGCCTAGTGTTTGGCATGAGTACTTTGAGGGAATGAATTCCCTGAAAGGGTTTGGTACTGTGAGATATCCTTGCCATTATGGTATGCTGAGAGTAGGTGATGTCTTCATGACACTACCGGCCCTCTTTACCTTTTCCACTTGGTCAGTAGATGTGAGGCAGGTATTGTTCCCACTGTCGAATTACTACTACTTTGCTCATGTCTTTTTGGAATTTATTGGACATATTTTGTTTAGTCTGCGGTGCAAAGAAAGCATTTAATTGCCTTAAAACCTGACAAACTGAAGCCTTTCTTCCTACCTCTGTTCTGGCTTTTACGAAGAACTTAAACTCTACTATCCATTCCTTCCCCTTCCCCATGGCAAGTGTGATGTAGCAACTGTTGGGTCACTACAGTGGGGTCTTTCTTCAGATACTGTGGGGACCACTACAGTGTGATCCTTCTTCAGCTACTGTGGAGTCACTACAGTGTGGTGCTTCTCCAGCTACTGTGGAGTCACTACAGTATAATCCTTCTTCAGCTACTGTGGGGACCACTACAGTATGATCCTTCTCCAGCTACTGTGGGGTCACTACAGTGTGGTCCTTCTCCAGATACAGTTGAAGCAAGACTGCACAGGAAATCTTGTGTGATGCCATAGTCCTCTAGATCTAGATTGCCTTGATGAAGATCATCTCCGTGATCAGGTAGGGCCCTCTAACTCCATGGGCAACTCTGCAAAAATCCATCTTGCTGTGTACACAGACCAGAGATTCCCTGGAAACAAGTAGGTAGCACTGGTGTCTCTTGCTTACTTGTTCCCTGGGCTTTGTCACTCTTGTAAGTCTGAATTCCAGTGGAAGAATGTGTAGGATCTCTTGGACCCAACCTCAGCAATAACACTCATGGGAGTCTTCTTAGAGAAGAGTCAACAACTGAAAAATGCCACCCACCCAGGGGTGTGTAACAGCATTAGTGATAGTATGACAGTGTGGATGCCTCTGCATCCTTCTTGCCAAACATTTAACAAGTCAACTGGCTCTTGGGGTTGTGTCGCTTTCTCTGCACTGCTGCATCTCTCTCACTGCTCACAAGCTGAGGGTCTACACAGAGCTATATGGTCTACCAGCCTAGGGTCCAAACCCACCCCTACAGTCCATCAGCCTCAGTCCACGCCTACCCTATGGCCCATCAGACTAGGGTCTACACCCCTACCCTACAACCAACCACTCTGGCATCTGTTTCCTATACCCCACCATCCACTAGTCCATATCACAGGAATATACTGAGATTACTTCTTGATAGCAGTGATGACTGTTGAGGTTTTGTCATAGAAGTAACTCATCTGGAATGCTCTGTGTCACCAGGGATCCTCGTCCAGTTCTGATTGCAAGTGCATAGGCATAAAGTCCCTCCTTCCTTCACGGCCTCTTGGCTCCGTTTTGATTGACATGCTCATGGCTCTACCTTAGCAGAACCTATACTTGGAATTTCACGTAGCACCGCCCTTTGTATGTGTAAGTCACATGTGAGGCTAACTGTGATCAGACGGACTCTGTGCTAAGAGAGATGGAAGTGTGCCTTGTTGTGGGTACAGACCACCCCAGAGAGTGGCCTACTGCTTACACCTGAGTCTTGCCTCTGACATAGAAGGTCAGACCTCAGGCAAAGGTGGCTTCTGCATCCATGTACTTCTTCAGACTCTCCACAACTCTTTAAAGATGTGAAGTTGTCCTCCAAAGCCCCATTCCCTCACCCCCATTCACTCCATCGCTCCATTAGACTCCCTCACATGGAGGATCTCCAGTGTTAACCTCCTCGTGAAACTCCAACTCAGCACTGAGGATACAGCCACTCAAATGCCACCAAAGCAAAACCAGGAAGCTCACCCAGTTAAAGTGAGGATCCGGGAGGAGTATCTGAAGCTTACCCATGTCCATTCAAACAAGATGGCAAACTTTAAAAATACTAATTTACACTGCATCTGCATTTCTGTGCCTGCACCTTTGATCGCAACTTTATCCTTTTCAGTTCAAGTCTGAGCTGCAGATACTCATATCTCAAAGTAATTGAACGGAAACTGCACTTTCTGAGTTGTACTTCTGCCCATTTGAACTCAGGGATGGAATAAAATGAAGAATTTAATTCTGTTCTACTTTTGTATTGCTCGGGTAATAAATTGGCGCAGTTTAGCAGCTTACAGCGGCACAAATGTGTTCATTATGCTGACTCAGCATACACCAAGTCCCTCTCATGTGGACGCCATCTGTGCAATGCCCTACATCTGGACCAGATATTCTCTCTGCACTAGGCAGAGCATGAGTTTGGTTGCTGAGGGCCCAGGACTTGGCAATTAGGAAAGATAGTGATTATTCGGTTTTTAAATGTATCATCACATTCCAAGTTGCCCAGTCTGTTCCCATAGCTTCATGTTGGGATTCCTCTACCAACCACGAAAAGCAAAGAGCAAGCAAGCACAGCCTCCAAGGCACAGGCTCTGCAGAGGGATCAGTTAGAGGCGAGGGAGAAACCAGGAAGGACAGTGAAGGAGTGGACGGACAGGTATAGCCCAGGCCCACGTGGACCTTAATGAAGCACATTGGGACCATTCACCCTCTGCTTCCCAGCAAGAAAGGGCTCAGGACAGGGAGACTCCATAGAAAACAGGATGAAGTATGGAGTTGTGGAGGGAGAAGCCAGTGCCAATTAACCCTTCGAGGGTCCTTGCGAGCCATCTGTGAACA